GAACGACATAAACAACGCATAGTAGGCCTGAATAAAACAGGATTACAGTCTCGTTGGCTGCGAACTCTGGAGCGCGTCAATGGGCTGGGTTAGGCGCGGCGCCAACCCGCTCTTAACCTGTAGTGGAAGGTGGCAGGCGACCATGGCCGACAGGCTACGGACCGGACCCAGCCCTCTCCCCAGCCCCCTCCCCCGCTCCTGACATGCCAAAGCGGCCGCAATGCAACGTGCACTTCTATAGCTGGAACGTTATATAGCTGATCCTCAGCCGTCGATGATCTCAAAAAATGGAGGGGAAAACTACAGGAAACTCAAGAATTATATGAAAGTCTTACAATGTTACATATATAGAAGAGCAGGTATTGCTGGGCGCTTTAGAGTAAACTCGTTAGTGGAATAAATGGCCATGAATCCAAATTTCAGTAAAAAAAAGGAAAACGAAGCAAATTTGGGCGCTAGACGCTGCATCAATCAATGGAGGCAATCTGAATCGGAACCCGAAATGTCTACGGGAAAACCATCTGGGTTAAACCTTCGAAAACTGCGATTTAACGGAGACGTGGATTGGTAGCTGAAAGACCGAATAAATACGGCTTGGTGGAATGATGGGAGCTCAAAGATAACCTCTGTGATTGCAGGTGTTGCAAACTGCTAAATGGCGATTGGATAAAATCAAACACAAACAACAACAAAGAAAAATCTGCCGGCGAGGACACACGATGCTCTACGATAGAGTACGGCCCGCTGAGCAAGTGGAAACGCAGGCCCCCACCGCTGGATGCTGACGCTCTACTCTTGTGGCTGCAAGTTACTGAACTGAATCAGAAACCAGGACACGTGCAGAAGGGATGGTGAGGTGATATTATCAAGAATCACCTCACTGGAGCCTGGGCTTTCGCCTAATGCCCTGGATTGGGAAAAAGACGATGCCTCACAAGAGTAGGGTTCTCTGGAAAAACTCACCCATGCGCGTTGCGGCGCGATTTTTTGATCACCGCGGCGGCAGGGCGGAGCGAAAGGCGATGGCCTGCGCCTCCGCCACTGTGCTCCAATCAGCAGCCGCTTTTATGTGGAAGGAAAAAAGAGGAAAATAGAGAGAAAAGATGATTGAACAGATAGTGGATGCTTACAGGTGAGTTAGTGGTAGTGGTGAGAGAATACAGAAAAGTCGACTATCGCGGCGTATTACTTCAGAACGGCGAAACTGGCAAAATAGTACCTTCCATAAGCGAAAACGACGCAAACAGCTCTTACGCAAACGTTTAAGGTGAAGTTTGCAAATTGCAAACAGTTGGTTGTCGGCATAACGGTATGACATTTGCGTAGGAGCTGCTCGCGTCGTTTTCATAACAGAAGGGAACAATTTAGCCAGTTTCGCCGTTGACTGAACTAATACGCCCCTGATAGTGCCTTTATGTATTCTCTCGTCACTACTTCAAGCCTGTAACGCATCCATCTTCTGTTTTAATACACTCTTTTCCTTACTCTTTTTCCCCTCACATAAGAGGCGGCTGCTGATTGGAGGAACATGCAGTACGAAGGCGCATGCGCCACCGCCTTTGCTCGGCGTCGCCTTCCGTCGGCGTGACGTCGAAAAACCGCGCCGCATGGGAGCCCGGGTGTTTTCCCTCCTCAGGAGCAGCGGACCCCCTGATGTGACGTGGATGTATGCAAAAAATAGAGGAAAAATTTCCAAGGGCTCTGAATACATTAAACTCAGCGTAGTCAAGTGGTTTCGCAATTCTAGGCAGGAGTATAATCCGGAAACTCCGTGGTAGATAGACATCGACCGCATCCAAAATGAGCCATAGATACCACAACCAGAAATCAAGCGAGGGGGGGGGGGGGGGGGTGCGTCACATAGCGCATATTACCTGAACTGAAGTTGTTGTCAAGATGCAGAAAACAACTATTCTTCTGAACTAGAGATTTGGGGTAATCGTAATAACAGTTTTTTTTTGGCGTTTCAGAGGTTCGGTAAATGGAAATATAGAGGGATCAAACGGTCAGTGGCAAAATGGTTACGCCCGAGCCAACATCTGGAGAAAGCAAACAGCCTTGTCTTTGGGATCTTCTTGCGCGGCACCCCATTCGGTAGCTTAAATCCAGAAACTTAACGTCCTTACCGTATCCATATGGGAAGAGATTGTCAGGATTCCTCGCCGAGTACCGTATTCCCATCAGCAAAATCATTTGATTACAAGTGTCCATTGTGCTATGAATCGCTTCAGCAAATAACGACTTAGAGCCCGTAAGATATGCAGCCGTATACTGAAAGCACAGGGTAAGAATATAGAAAACTGAACGGATCAGTTCAATCCGATAAACTGCGACGCCCAAAGCCACAATTGCGCGTCGGTGCCGGCATGGGCGAACAGTGAACCACTCAGTTTTCCTCATCGGCGCTCCACCTTCTAAGACGGTAAAGAAAAGGGGCATAGGGAAGGACCAGTGGTTCCTTATGTCCGCAAATAAGACTAGCGCGGACTGTGCGTCAAGTGTGGTTTTGCAGGCGATAAGCTGTTTCTACAAATGAAGAGCAGAGCTATCTTTAATATTTCATCGCAAAGTGGGAGATGCTACAAGCTCCATCCCCACTGTTGTTAGCATGAACCAGCGGCCTGAGAATACTCCACTGATGAAGGATGAGGTATAAAATCTTCGCTGATCTTGACCAATCGCTTTTTAGAGATGTGGTAGCATTTTTCTTCCCCATTTATAATCGACGGCTCAATTGAATGTGATTTGGCTAACAATGAGTGCGGAAGGGACAGCCGATGGCACTAAGCAGTGTTCTTCAACCTACCCAGACGAGCCTGGGTGTCGATTTACTCTCCCTAAGACTAAACAGGCTTGCGTTGGCAGCGAGAGGGAGCCGATCGTGATTTCACCCCTGAAAACCGTAAGCCCGTGGTGAACGTGCTACTCGCTGCTACACCACCTCCGTGCCATTAGAGCGCTGGTCATAAAGAAGTATATCCAAACAAAACATCGCAATCAGGTCATAAATTTCTGACTTCAACATTATTTTTAAGAAGTTTTTCACAATGAACTGACCTTGAAAGCAGCGTCACACACGTTGAGAGTGAATGCGATAGCTACTACTCGATCAGCACCTTTACTAGTAGACGTAGTTGTTTCCACCTAGACAAAAAATTAACTACAGTCCACATCACTTTGAAGATACAATGGTCCCGGCAAATTTGAGCCGGTTTTCGGCAAACCAAGTGTCGGTGCTCCTCGTATTGGATGGGATCGCAGTGTATGGGGGGGGGGGGAGGGGGCGTAATGACGGTCATAAACCGTCGTCTATTCGCACAAATGTGAAAATTGAGGATTATTTCTTTCGGGTAAATGAAAATGAATCAATTGCACATCTTGATCGAGGGGCGCAGTCGATGGCGGGGGGGGGGATTTTGTACTATCATTGCTTCCTTAGTTCCGGTTTACAAGTCTCACTCTGGCGAAACCTGTGAACTCTTGTGAAGCTGGAGCAAGGTCGTCAAGCCATCATGTTAAAACACCTGTCACTGGATAGATGGAGGCGCCTGGATATGATCGATACGTCGATGGGAAGTAGCAAAAATGCGAAATGCCCCCCCGCCGCCGAACTGCGCATTTGATCAATCGATACCTCCCTACTTCCGGCTAGAAGATCAGTATGGAACGGGCAAGGGACTGCAGTACTTCTTCCTCTTGTTTAACATATTTGAGCCCCAGTGAGGGCGAAGAGTTCAAATTAACGGGCAGAAAAATTAAAGTTCTAATAAATGGCTGAAGAGTAATGTATTCGGTATACCAGAAAATGTGGCCGGGAACCGTCTGCTGCGAAACGGCAAAATCCTAAAGGCACAGCAGCCGCCACGCTCAAATGATGTACGCAGCCACCCCACCCCTCACCTTCGGGAATTCAGTGGCTAACGAAGAAAAGAAATGCTAAAGTGGAAAACTACGACACACAATAACGCACCCTCATGCGCATACGCATACGTTCAGCATCTGTTAATTCCTTTCGCATAGCAATCAACGGGCGACGGTGTGCATCAAGTGCTGCAGGACTTCCATGAACCTGAATTTTTGCTATGTTCGACTAAACTCTGAGCAAATTTCCGCCATCACTAGTGAGGTAATTTAGAAAAAGAGATAGATTCAGCATAAGCCTAGCATGCCTAAGAATTTTTGACATTTCTCGATAACACAATTTGCTGATTAAATAAGTTGGATGCAACATAGCTAATAAAGGCAAATCCCGCAATTGTATGTCGTGGATAGGGACTTTCAATTACAGACTCGCAGTCGCGAAGTGACTTTTCAGGAAAAAAGCCCGAAACAAAAATCATGGAAAACACAGTAAGGACTCCCTCCCTTGGCAGCACCAGTGTACGACTTCTCCTGACCTCCTCGCTTCATGCCAGCAAAGCGATATCCTGCCACCCTTGGCTCGCTAACCGTCTCACCCCCCAATGCTAACACAATCTAGCGGTGAAAAAAAAACGAAAAGCCGTGCAAAAAGGGAGCTCGTGACAGAAAAAGCCTCTGAGTTTTGGTGGGCGTCAGAACTGCCATATGAGGGATGCTGGTTACTTGCTGGGCCTCATTCTGACAATCCTGACTGCTTATAAACGACAACTATTGAACTTGAAAATAAAGAATTGGGGATATCAAAAAATTTTGAAGCCCTCAAATAAATATTAACACTTTGGAAGTATTCACGGGATACACTTCACCTGGATAGCCTTGTGATAAACGTCCGTCAAAGCATACAGGTGCCGACTTTGATGAGTAGCATACGAAGTAGGCTTCACCGGTACTGGTTCTGTGGGTAAGTCACGAAGGTCTTCTTCCCTACAAAAATAACGTCCGAGACAAACCAACAGCTCACTTTTAGGCGCCAATGGTCTTGGGAGGGGCGTTCAAAGGACTCCTTGTGTTAAAACGGAAACTCCAGCAACGAAAGTGAGTAACTTAGTTAAGCTGGAAGCGGAGGGAAGCACAGTAGTTAGTGAGCCAATTTAAAGGACCGTAGCTCTATTGGGATGACGTTACTCCCACTTTCTGCACAAGAAGTCCTCCGAATGCCCCTCTCAGTGGAACAGCGCCTGCAGTTCTTCTTTGAATGATATCAGACGAGCACTTAGGAAAGAAAAATCCAAAACAGGTAATCAAGAACTTTGATATAGGTACCGTAGTCCAAATTCGGCCATAGCGCGTAGTTTGTCTATTTTGTCATTCTCATAGGCTTCTAGATCTTTTCGACGGCCGAGCTATCTGGAAGAGCAGAAATTCTGAAGCTCCTTCGCATTTATTACTACAGTCGAACGAGGGGAAAACTCACAACCATTGTGGCTTGCCCTCTTTATCACGTTCGGAGTGACACAGATGAGAAAAGTGTAGTGGCTGTGAGCCTCTCCCAACCGTTCGATGTGTCTTTAAACTAACCGCTAGCTAACTGACAATTTAAGGTACCCTCCATATCAAGGAGGTAGGGTGGGCGTGGCCGCGCACTTCATTTACACATTTGGCAAGATGCACTTTTCGTAGAATTTCTTTTTAAGACAACCGTCATGCTGCTTTGTGCCGGACAAGAGATCTTTACGCTAGTGCCAAAACAGTAATACTCAACAGAAACGCAGCTAGCGCCATGTTCAAACGAGGCACGCAACCACGCCCTTCCCTCTCCAGGATATTGAGTGCAATTTAAAATTTTTGGGTGAAAAGTTGAAGAAGATATAACATAGAATTAGAAACGATCTCAATATTAACCTAACAATCTCAAAAACCGACAAGAGTGAGTTTATTTAATCAACTGCGAGAACCGCTAATATTAATGTCGTCACCAACTCCTGAGATCAATTTCTGAAAAAGAACATCACTTGTGTTACCTTTTGAGATCAAAACACATTTGGGACCAAGAATGGTTAAAAAATGAACGATCTATGGACTACGAACCTTGAATAGCCTCTGTTTTTTGGACTTCGAGGGAAAGTCAGGAGGATTGCTATCGGTTTGGCATGATGCAACAAGTAGCCGCGCCAACGGTGGTGTGCGTCGCAGCAAAGCTAAAATAATAGTTGATTGTACTATTACTATTGAACGAAAAGTTCTCAACACATCGCAGCCAAAGCCAGGGCGCAAAAATTGCTTGAGAGGGGCAACTCAGTAGCGCCTCTGGTGCCATAAGAAAGGCTGATTGCAACCACGGCTGAGGCTTACTGTAGAATATATCTTCCCTGCGAGCGACTGTCTTTTAAAGCTGTGCTCGTATGCGCTCTGAGACGTAATATCGAACCTAAGGCAGCGTTCAGACTTCGCGACGGCAGCGCTTCGGTTGCGCGTCGACTCGATCGATGCAGTCGAAAGCATGCGTATCGATCGCTGCGAACGCGCGACCGAGGCGCTGCCGTCGCGAAGTCTGAACGCTGAAGAGAAGATGGAACTACACCCTTTCACGTCCCATTTCTCGGAACTTGAGTCCGACATTCACTGAAAATTGTCTTGGGAAGAGAGCTTTACTAAATGTTTGTTATC